AGTCCGCCCTTTTTTCCAGTCAAAATCTATTTGTATGGCAGAACGCACTGGATTCTCCTTTATTGGAAAAATTAGAAATAAGGCAAAGGACACGATATATGAAAAACATTAATGCCAAAAAGGTTTTAATGTTTGATGAGAACATAATGTATGCCTTTAATAACCTAACACCGTCACACCGTTTACCGCTCAGGTAGGTGAGAAAGCTAGGGTTTTAATTAGAGTTAATTCATGGAAGCCGAATTTCGTGGACTTCCCTTCTTTTTATTAGAGAAAAACGATAACCATTAAAGAAATGATATAGGTCATTATTATCAAAAGGATGCCTTCTAAGTATTCTGTTTATCTATTTAAAAAAGACAAGGAATTCTGCCTTATTGGAAAAAATATCATTTGCATCGAAATAAGGACAAAAGACACGACATATGGAAATCTTTAATGCCAAAAAGATCTTTTAATTCCTCATTGAGAAACAGTTTAGGCAGGTGTTAAAAAAGAGTCAGTTTAATAAAAATTAATTCATGGGCGCCATTTCTTAGACTCGGCTTTCATTAGGACCGAACATAACCATTTATAAAGGTAATTATGTAGGTCATTGTTGTTCAATGAATTGCGGCTTAGCGTTTCTCTTTCATTTTCGTTAAATTTAAACAGAAAGGTTTTTTGAGGTTCGTGTTAACACTTTAAAATTATTCTTCCACTTTTTAGAAAAAATAGAAGATAGCAGTAATTCTTGCAGGTGTTCGAGGTGGCCTGATCTTGCGATCAATTTATGAACTACATAATTTGTCACCACATGGTAGAGCATCAAAACTAATATATATAGATTAAGGCAGGGCTAAAAGCGAAGCTCTCGATAATATTTATAGTTTGCTTAAACGAAATATAAAATCGCGTGATGCTAAGCGGCGAAGGCAACTCCGGAGAGCGGTGAAAAACAACAATAGGTCTAATTAGCAAAAACTGAGCAACTTTGCACGTGTAGCACACTTTTTTTGTACATTTCTTTCCCGTTGTTTTGCACGACTACATCGTGAAACTTCCAGAAACTTCTTAGTTACACGTTTTATGAAAGAAATGTCGTACGTTTTCTCGTTCCCTTTTTTTTCACTGCCCCTCATTATCACCTTGCACTGTTGGGCACTAGAATTTCTCATTTTGTCACCGCCGCTACAAAATTTTCAAGTTCTTCTTCTTCTTGTCGCCCTTTTTTTCGTTGACAGTTGAGCTTCGCTGGCCTGCCGCCTATTTTCTCTTTTTCTCTGTCTTTCTTTTGCTCTATATTCCAAATTTGTGGACATGACAATTACTCTAAGCTTAATACTTTAGAAAACACGGATACAAAGACATATTTTCGCTTTCCGTTTTCGTCTTCATTGACTCTGTAGTTTTCTCTGCTTTACAAGACGCAGGTGGCTGTGCGATTTCCGGTCAAAATAACCTCGAGCTACATTTGGGTTGCCATACCTGTTGATTGAGTTATTTAACATTGGTAAGCCTGTGGTGCGGACGGTCGGGCGGTCGGTCGGTGTAAGGTCACGTGATTACCAAATTTTCTCGGATGGGTAGTTTACCACGTTTTCTTACCCATGGTGCGCCGCTATAAGTAATGGTAACAGGACTGAGTAGAGTCCAGTTCGGTTTGTAATCATGTTTAATCACGAGTATGATTACAGACTGAATTGGACGACAAAAAGTTCTGTTACCGATTAAACATAACTTTAACCTGAAAATTTGTGATATATAGGCTCTTTTTTTAAAAAAAATCAAAGCACAAGAAATTCTAAGACCTTCTTTATTGCCAGCAGTGAAAGCCACTTAAGCGCGCGCGTGATGGCGTGTACTGTCCAATTACTTAGGCGTGACGCGCACTGTCCTATTAAACTGTCCTATTAAGGCTGAAATCAGGGCAGTTGATAGCCAATCAGATTTGAGAATTTTGTTATAGTTATGATTATAATAATAATAATAACAACAATTTTTATTTAACTTTGAAAATATGTACATAAATTAACAGAAATTTTTAAAATAAGAATCCAGTGATATAACATTAAGTCTTTGGCCTCGTGGACAGGCTTCTAGGAGTCGAATCTATTAGGCGATCGCGAGAGCAAAATTGAAGGTGAACTTTGACCCGGGCAACAGGGTATTTGCTAGTCTGCCGACCGTGTGACTATACATCCGGGAACTTGAATAAGACGAGTGTTGAGAAAAAAGTCTGGAGGTGTTTATCTGCCAATAGGCTGATTGTTTCAGAGTTATTTCATGATATTTGGCTCATATTAAACGTGAGAAGGGATTATGCGGGGTTGTGGATAGCTTTATCAGTGCTGCGAAAGGGTGTGATCGTGTGGTTTCCGGATTGTGTTGACAGCCAGAACTCAGAAATGTGGTCGCGTGGTTGGGCTGTTGCACCAAAATATTCTGCGCCAGCCATAAATGCTTTTCTTCAGTGTTTATCTTCGCTGGTTGTTCCTTGGAAAACCAATTCTCGACTCTGGAAAATTGGATCTAGGTTTAGTTTCAGCGGGTTAGCTCTTGGCTTTGAACTACAGGCTGGTTTTGCAGATAAGAAGGTGTTATCATACTTCCAAGTACGCGGTGGGGCTGACTAGTGACTTTCCTCTCTTGGTAAGTCTTTATCTTTTTGGAGAAAGTGCTAATTATTTAACGGATAAGAATATCATGATCTAAAATTAGAATTTTTGTAACGGACGTTTTATGTACCCACTGAAACTTAATGCCTATTTCACAGTTTTTGGTTGGAGGAGAGTTTTCCATATTCGGGACCAATTTGGTAGCGGATTTGTTTGCGCAAATCGAAAATGAAAACGTTGCAGTTTGATCACATGCTCGGAGATTTTGCATCTATTAAAAAAGCAAGAACTTTGTATCCGAGTGATTGTTCTCGGATTTACAGTTGTGTACGTGAAAACGAAAGTGAATCCGACACTAAGTGTAATTAATATACTTTAGAAACATTTATGAATCCGGAAAAATCTCCTCTTTTGTTAGCCTCAGCTAAGGACCTATTTTCGTTTTCTTTGGAGAATAAAATTCCTGCGAAAAGAAAATTTCATCGAAACCGCGTGCAGCTGTAAGAGAGAATGCCTGATCTCAAGTAACGCAGGATGCTCTAGGGTAAACCTAGCCTGAGGTCATTGTCGAGTTACATTGCTCTGTATATAAATGAAGATATATTCTTGAACAAACACACAACTGTGAAACAATTTTGTTGAATTCACTTTTCTCAGCCAGTTTACGTTTATTAAATTAGTCCTTAAAAAATCGAACGTCTTTAAACCGGGTCCCAAAGCTCATAGAAGAGAAAAACCCAGTTCTCCAACACTCAAAACCGGGTCCCAAAACTCAAAGAAGAGAAAAACCCAGTTCTCTTAACACTGAAGGTGGAGGGATGGAAAAAAAGTACTCATAAACTCAGAGTATGGTGAAACAACTAGACTACTGATACTTGCTGAGAGCTGGGCAAGGAGGTCTTTCAGGGAATACCAAAAGGACTGCGTGGTAAAACACGGATAGGCTGCCAACCCTTGAGTGGCAACAAGCAAATAAACTGGAAACCTAAGGCGCAGAGAAGAAGCGAGAAAAACCCACCCAAGGGATGGCAGCCTCAGCGTCAGCAATCCGACTAACACCCTTTTAGGCTACCATGGAAGCGCAGGAAGAAAAACATATGAAATGACGGCAGAAAAGGCGAGGAACGAATAGCACACATAAACTAAAAGAATGGAAAAACAACTAGGAACACAAGGGAGCAAATACACTGGGACAAGGGAGTAAACCCGCAGAACTGGATACGGCGTGCCGAAACACGTGTACCAAATTACAGAAAAATGCAAAGGAAAACATAATCACTCAAACTATACAGGAGCCGAGGAAATAACACCACTGTAAACAGTGTAAAATAAAACACGCCGAACAGATTGACCAAATAAGGCACAAACGCAACGAAAGTGATGAACCAACTTTAAGGGAATCGAAGGAAGATTAAATTAGTGAGGGAAAGAACGCAGAACACAAACTTTAAACTGAATAATACAAAGCACAAAAATAAAGCGTGCAAATTCGAAGGGAGCCGGGGAAAAATCACTGCACAAACGGGAGCTTGTTGGGCAAGCACGCGTAACAAAAGCAAACTGAATAAAACAAAGAAAACCAAAAGGGTGTAAACTTGAGGGAAGCCGAAGGGAAAGCACTGCACAAACCCGAGCTGGTGAGGCAAAACACGCAAAGCAAAAAAATACTGAATAAAGCAAAATAAACACAAGCATGCAACAAACTTGACGGGAGTCGAAGGAGTAGCACTGCGCAAACCCGGTGTTTGTGAGGCAAAACACGCAAAACAAAGTTCTGACTAAAGGGTAACAAAAGCGTGTAACTGACTTTACGGGAGCCGAAGGAAAAGCACTGCAGAAATCCGATGTTTGTGATGCAAACCACGCAAAACAAAATTACTGAATAAAGAAAAGCGACGAGCGAATTCTAATGTTAATTAGATTTCACTTTCTAATCTTGTGATTGACTGAGCCACTTTGGGTTCTTATTAATAGGTGGGGTTGCAGTGGCCGTTTTACCCATGGGCAAATGGCTGTTGCCCACGGTGAGGCAACGTTTTGTGTGTGACCGATATCCCCGAGGTAAAATTGCTTTGGGAAAATTTCTATAGATTCACAAATGAACAAATGAATTACCCATGACAGTTGCCGAGGTAAGTTCTATGGGTCAATAAGTTATGAAATGCTAAGGAATACTTAGCTTGGCATTTTCTCTCGGCGCAGGTCTAAACCCAAGGACCACAGTTTAATCAATAACAGTTCAGCTGTAACATTAACTAAAGGCCACTTCAATCCTTTTATTTCTTTGATTTTTTAACACCAGGAAACACAAAAAAGGGCAAATAAGGAATATAGGGATAAGGGATAGTAGAGGAACATATTAAACATCTCCTTAATGTTCTCCTTTGAAAATCAATTTGTGATTCACAGTTTGGCGCCTGACTTATATACAGTAAATGAACTTAAATGGGTTGAGATCTTATGAAGTTCCCTTACTCCACCCACGCTATTACGCCTTTTTTGCACAGAGTGCGTCTCCGTAGACAGCGTGTTTACTTCGACAGTATTGTGCGAGGAGGTACGGACGATCTTCATCTTAGCCTTTTGAAGATTAGCATTTAAACGCATAAATTCTTGGAAAATTGCATCAGCTTTAGAAAATTCTGTCATAAACGATTTGTCTATTGTATTTTCCGGCTCACAATATTTCAGCTGAGCAAGTTCTATTCCTCCTAAACCCAGCTGCACTATGGAACGTCGTCTTGAAATTGAGGGCAAGTCATTTTTCTTTGCTTTTCCTTTGATGAAATTCTTTGCCGATAAAGTCAATAATTTGAGTTTCTTCTCCAAGTCTTTGGCGGCCATGTTTGCTGCAATTTTTTCTTTAGATTCTTTCAAGTGCTTCATAAGTACCGCAATGACAACATTAACTAACACAAACTGAGCCGCCAGTACGAACGTAACGAAGAACAGAGGTGCTGTGTATTTGCTCATGCAACAGTATTTATCGCATTCAGCTTCAGAAGAGCATTTGGAGCTCAGTGTGTCCTGGGAAGAAAAGTAAATGATATTATTAAACATGAGCTACTCCGGCATTATTTACAATTATTTTAAAAGTAATTGCAGCAAAAACCCGTGTAAGAACCTAGTGGTTTAAGAACCTATTGGCAGAACTTTGTCACTTTAATGCCCGAAAATATATATTAATAACCAAGCAAAATCAAACAGGTTTATATGCGGGTTAGAGTTGAATTATGACATTTTAACCAGAAGTTTGGCTTCGAGATTCTAAATTGATATTACAAGAAAATACTCTACCAAACGGTAATTACAAAAGAAAGTACTACTGAAATTCCAACAACAAAAACAGGTTTACATAAAGTACTATAATTGGCTTCATGGACCTTGAATAAAGGAGGATTGCAAGGTACAGCTGTGAATAAATACTGTACATATTTATATAAAGACCAAAGTCAAGTTTCTTTATTTTTCTGTTAGTCAACAACCTAGTCTCCTTTATAGAAATTAAAAACCTACTTAGCCTAAATTGCCAAACATTGCCCCAAAATATAACAACCTTATTTGCCGCACTTACAAAGATGTAGGTTCTTACACGTAGGTTTTTACTGTATTCATTCCCCAGCTTTACTGGGGACACACCTGCTTAATTGCAATGAACACGAATAGGACCCATAGCTGTCCTGCGATGTGCCTTGCCCACCCATCCCCACAACCCATGAAAGGGATGGTCACGTGCACCATGCCAGGAATTGTTATGTCCCTAGCAGTTCCTTTTCGTTTAACGAGATGTGACGTCAAAGAAAGTGTTGTGGGAAGGGTTTTTCAACGTTATTCGGGAGGCCAGGATGTGAAGGTATTACCATTGGCAGATGTCACAGCAAAAGTAACGATTCCTTTTCGGTTAATTATTCAAGACCCTATGTGTTCGTCTGGCCGGCAATCAAGCCCGGACCTACTGCTCTAACCAATTGAGCAAACCATTATTTCAGGATGACTGTTAATTTGTTACATTAAATTTAATCAACCAAGTCCAATCAAACTGCTCATACTATGTTTATATAAAGGAAAAAGCAAAAATGTAATTCATCTTCCTTACTGATACGAATTTGTTTCGGTTTTCGTTTCTGCATATAGGTATGTAAGCGCTGAAAAAGGCCCCATCGAAGGCGTTTGACAAGTTAACTTAAGCCGTAACATAATTGTAAGTATGGGAGGATTACTATTATTTTAAAAGATTGTCCAGATGACGGTCCCACAGTATTTCTATGTTCTTTTTATATTTTACTAACCTCTAGTATACCATTCCAGTTGTCCCCTGTTGCTATTCTAAATAATGTCAGCATAGCCGTGCCAAAATCTCTGAAATGCGCATGCGGACCAAGGCCCTGGCAGGGCTGCGACGGAGAACACTCTGAGACAAATGACCAGATTAGGCAGTTAACTTGCATACACACACACATACCTATCGAATTCAATTTGAAAATGGCGATCATTCTATAAAAGCAACAGAGCTTTACTTTATTGTGGTAATAATCACGGTATGTATTCTTGGACTTCCCTATGCGCGTCTCTCAATGAACTAATAGAATAAATGGAGCAACATAACTTTAAGGGCCTGTGATCTTTCTTAAGGGAATTCACATCTATGATACACCATGATGTCCCCACCATGATTAAGTCCCGTGCCCTTTAATTAGCTGGTATGGGTATGCTTAATATTTTCTGGCTACCACATGACGAGAACTTACCAAGAGTGTCAAATAACTGAATACCCAGGCAGGAGTAGATAAAAAACAAAAGTAAGAATAGCAGTCCAAGGTTTGCAACCTGAATTTATAACAAAAAAAAGCATAATTATCTGTTTAGCAAGACAAGAAATTCTGCAATGCTCTGTGTAATTGCGATTTTTTAAAAAAAAAATAAATTACAGAAATAATAATAGTTTTAACTTAAAACAAATTAGCAGTCAGTGAAAAATAAACCTGCGGAAGAGCTTCAAAGAGAGTGTCCAACAGTGAACGAACCCCTTTAGCTAACTTCACGAGCTTCAACACTAAAAGAAAGCATGTACAGAGATGTCAATAGGCGATGAAAAGAGTGTTGTTCCTGTAAATATATTTAAACCATTTTAGATCGAAATTATGTCAGTAGATTGCGTTAACGAGTCACCGGGGGGGATACTTCCAGAAAAATTGGGTGGGTGTGTGAGGCACGTTTCCTGAAACCCTAAGCCTCTTTCAGACCAAAATCTGTGATTTTTCCTAACCTATTTCAGACCTGAAATAATAGGTCTCCTTAGGGATTTATCGCCTAATGATGAAGAAGTAGATTCTTCTAAAAAAGATACCCAATTCAAGAATAGAGTGCACAAACCATACCGTATTTAAGACCAAAATGGTCAAAATTGGTACCCTATTTCAGAAAAAAACGGCTGAAAACCACACCCGTTGGCGCCGCACATACCCATATAGCCTAAATAAGGGAGTACCCCCTCCGGGATGAGTTACTGAGTGTTAACCAAATAAAAGTGGTTATCATAATTGATAACATACACCACAAGTTCAATACCCAAGCTCATTAATAGCTTAACCAGTGTTTTCTAAAAACCTTAATTTTTGATGGAAATGTGCCCACGTAGTCCCTGGATGCGAAAATCTGTGGTAGCAAACTGTTTCAGTAGAAATTTAGATTACGCCGTCTATTACGACAGAGCTTAAGGTCTTTGTCTACGCGCTTCACCCTTTCTTCAGCCCCCCCTTTTTTGCGCTTTCTCGATCTCTTTCCTCCCTCCCCTCTCCTCATTTACCCTACTAGATAGCCTGTTCACAGACTAATTCCTTCCTGACGGACACTACTGATACTATATACTGAGTTATAACCTTTATCTACAAACCTCTGATAATACGTAATACTCTCAATGATCTTGCAACAGTTGGATTTATCAAGAGTTTATTAGAAGAGCTTAGTGACTCGATGATTATTCCAGCCAAAGAGAGAATGACGATCACTAGATCAACCAGATTCCACCTACAAATAAGTTCATACAATATTGTGTCAGTTCGCAGTACTTTTGGCGTTCTCTTACAACACGATCGTGCAATGATTTACTTTTATTGAATCTGATGATAAAGCTGTAAATAAAGTTACTGCTTCAGACAATCATTTGTTGAAATGACCACTGAGAACAAGGAAGCTGTTCGCTCGCGGCCGGGGAACATATCTAACTACAAGAATCACATTATCAGTCTTCGTTTCATTTTCAATCAAAAGACAAGCATTTATCTCACATTAATTCAGTGCATTCCGGTTTTTTCTCCTAATGTATGCTCTGAAAAAGAATAGAATCTTGCGATGGGTCATTAGCATTGCAGGGCGAACATCATTGCGCTCATTCGTTCAGGCTTTTGTTCTTCCCTTATAAATATTGTTGTTTTTGCTGATGTGAAATTTATGGGCAAATAAATCCAAAATTCAAATTCTGGCAAACAGAATGATATAATTATGTGGACAGAAAAACTCAGAAAAATATTCTGAGTTCAAGATGGGAATTGAGCCCACGACCTTCCATGGGATATATATAAACAGCCTCAGTTGTTCTGAAGTTAATAGGCACTTGACTGGAACAGTCACTTTTGAAGGTGATTTTTTGAAACCTAACGAACACATGGTTCCACAAAGTCGTGAAATTCACAGACGTTTTTATGATGGGGGCACTAACTTAACCCCCCACCAAACAGTCAAATGTCTGCTTGCTTTGGACGTATCAACTTTAAACTTGGTAAGTTTCCTTACTTTAAGGCGTTTTTTCCAGCAGCGTTGATAGATATTCACTTACTGGTCTTAATCAAACGCGGAAATGTCTACCAAAGTTGGCGCAACCCACGACTTACCCGTCTTTGAAATAACGAACGAATCCAAAGGCAATGAACTTGAGCACCACCTCTAGCACAAAAATGCCGGTGAAAAGGTAATTTGAAGTGTCGACGAATAAAACAAAAGTCTGCAAAAGTTAATTAAATAATCTATTGTTCATTTGAATTCCAGGACCAATTTCGTGCCACTTCCTTCCTACATTACGTATTGAAAAGTTCAACCTCATATTGTTGGAGGTTTATGGGGAATGAAGCGTGCCAAAAAAAAACAAGCTAAAAAAGCTGATAACGAAGTGAAAAGGTTTGGGAGAGTATTAAGTAAAGGGGAAAAATAATAGCATGAATTAAATCGGCTACCAAGTTTCCTAAAACCCCTATTGACTAAAAAAAAATTAGCCAATATTTGTCACACGCCCAGAAACTAAAACATGAATCGTGATGGACTCAGGAATGAAGTTTTAACCTCAACTTTGTATTCCTCCTCATTACCTGTGACATCTGATAATGCTCCAAAGACATGCAGATTACATTCAGGCAAATCACCATGGCAATAACGACGTCCCAATACGCGTGAAGGCACATGTCATGAACACGCTGCCGCCATTTGCTGTACGATTGGTAATACGTTCGGTCCACCTCTGGAAGAAAAACATGAAGATGTAATTAATAAGAGTTCTTTAATTTCTTTTGTATTTGTTTTTGTTGTTATTGTTGTTTTTCTTTTCCTTTTTTCCGATTGCGGGTTCGTTAAGTAGTTGCTTGCTGTCCTTAAGGCAATTATAATTTGACTTTCTGGTGAGTGTAAATAAATATACTATGCTGATGAAATCAGGCATTATTAGAAAAAGAGAAAGAATGTTTGTACACAGTGTTACAAAAAACCCTCCTAGGTTTTATCTTGCGATATGGTGCAACGTGCATACATACTAAGCTTCTGTAGACTCGCCTTCTGGCAGATGAAATAAATCTGACTGACAGACAGACCAAATAGCATAATTTTGAAATCATAGGTGCAGCACTACAAGCGCAAAAGGAAGGTACGTAATATCCACCTTGTTGATTCTTGCTTCTTGCTTTGTCCAGCATCTTTCTTCGTCTTCTCTGCTTGTCTTCGTCCTCGAGTCTTCCTCGACAGCGTTGAAAATTTTCTACTACCACACCCACGATCATATTTAGCACAAGGAAGCCACCCAGCATAAGAAAAGGAATGAAATACGCAAGTCGCCATTCAGCGTAGTTCTTTACAGGCTATCAAAGGTAAGATTGAAGTAAAAAGTTAATGCTCAATTTCGAGAGTGCAAAAGCTGCTAGTGAAGGTGCTCTTAATGCTGAACTGAATCAACTCCTGAGCTATAACGAGAATGCCTTTAATGCCTCAGTCTTAAGCAACAGGAAAACATGATATATCTTGACAACTTAGCAAAAAAAATCTCCGTTCGACATTTTCGTTTAAAAACGACAAGGAAAGACACCAACCTGTTGATCGACTCCCACAGCATCAATTCCATTGTGCATAATTTCCACCCATCCGTCACGTGTGGAGAACACAAATAATGAAATAAGAGCCTGGGAATGATAGTGAAAAAATATGATAAATTTTTAATTGAATTTGCAAATTATATTTCTATATCCTTTAATCCCGAAGTCAGTTGCTGACCTAGAAAACTCTTATCGATATGGAAGGTAACTTCAGCACGACTTATTATATATGTGTTCTACATCAGAACAGGTATCGATCTTATTTTTAATTCAGTTATTTGTATATAGTTACGTTACAGTCGACATTCGTTACCTAAGCGTTCCTTATACAATTTCTTGGCACGCAGTTAGCCAAAACGCTAGTCGTAGCGTGCCAAATTAATGCGCCATTGGAAACCGATTTCACTGATAATAATTAATCTGAATAATTAAAATGGAAGGAGAAAAGAAAAGAAAGGATATGTGTAATAAAGTCAAAAGCAAGAAAGACACATGTGTTTAATGCAAGTTGTGGAAAAGCTAAGGTTTAGGATTTCGCGATTTTATTTCTCGCGTTATCATAGTTGCATCAAGGTAATCCAGTCTGTCGTGGTTAATCATAGATTAATTTTCTTTTAAACACATCTTTCATTCTTCCTGGTATCTCATTCCATAATTTATAATTAGCGCCAAATATTAGGACGGTTTGTCTAGGTTTTTCAAGATTTTTTTTTTTTTTTTTTTTGATGTACATATTATTTTTGAAGGATGATCTTGTGTTTTAAGCATGAATAGATGATGTCTTCTGGAAGAAATTCACGATTTGTGAGGGCGAAGTATTAATATGAATATCATGCATTAGGTAAGATACGGACGTAAAATAGAGAAGGAAAATTGGCAGGATATTTGCATCAATAAAAAGAGGAATGGCATGATCATTCCTATTGCAAAGTACATGAATAGGTCGAACCCAAATACAGAGCAAGACAGGTATACATAATGTGCATATACCCTGTACAGATAGTTGACTTAAAGAAATACCACAGCATAGACCACCCTTTAAAAGTATTAGGAACGCTACCGCTAATCAAAATTTCGTTCAAATTAAACAATTATATCAAACCTAAAGAATTCTGATTTACCTGAGGTAAGTTGTCAAAATTCTACATATGGTTTTCCCAGTGACCTTTACTACTCTCCAAACATTCTTTCTTGTTTTTAACGCGGCTGTTTCCTTCACTAAAATGAAAGGTGCCCTTGAAAATCTGAAAGGTTGAACCAGTTACAATTTAATGTCAACAAAAGGCAAATTATCCTCAGTATATTCTGATTTGGCTAACACTGTTCTATCCTCATGGGGCGTAAAAGATCGCGAACTCAAGATAGGCTTTGTTTGGTATTATGAAGTAACGGTACGTTACTGACACTCGGTAGCATAGCAAGAGGACCATCATACTTAGACAGCTGTTAAAGTTTATTGTTCTCGAATATATTTATCTCACGACTTAGTTTAGGGAGGCAGTGAAAGGGTATTTTGTCTGAAATCTTTAAGAATATGGCTGTAACCACATACGAAATTTGATGCCCTGTCCCTGTCCCAAACATTTAAGTGCATAAGTATCTGTATGACTGCAACAAGGCGGAATATGCTCTCCGTCTAGGCCTTTGTACATTGTGCTGTTGTTTTTCCACTAAAATGCTCCACCTTAAGGCTCCATTTTTCCCACTAAAATGCTAGTTAGTCCTCAAAAAAAGTCACTAAAGTGCTCAATAATGTTCGTCATAGAGAGGTCTTTTTCATTAATTCTAAACTGTTTTAAGGGGGTTTAAGACTAACAAAAATGTATAAATGGTATGATGATGATGAACTTTATTCATGTGTCGATGTATTTAGCTGACTCTAACTGGGGACACAACAACAACAATGACAACAATGTATACAAATAAATAGTTTCAATATAGCAAAAAAGATCATCCACATAGCTTTATGCCGTTGTAAAAAGGTTTAAACAAGATTCAATGTATGGACTGTCCAGCTGGATAAAAAGAAGTTGTACAGAGGTGACCGTCATTGGAGGTTCGATTGTATTCTCTTCGATAAGAGATATGTTCTTCTCTAAACTAGAACCTAAAATACCGCTTCTACGACTACAATCACATGAGTCCCTATTATCACATCTGATGAATTCTACTGACTATTTTATTAACATCCAATTAATTTCATTTATATATCAACTTGCTTTGAATTGACAGACAAACTTATCTCCGGAATAATTAATCCTACTGATGGTTAGAAATAAACAATGATTAATAAGTTTCAAATTATTTTAAATATTTAATTTAATTTACAAGGAATAAATGAGTAATTTCAAGTAGCTTTTGCAATACTGTAATACTTTGTTATGGTCATGCAAATAAAGCTTATTGTTGTTGTTGTTGTTGTATTCACATTGCACATAGATTTAAAGCCTACAAGTAGAAACATGGTGTTCTTTTCTGTGAAAAATGGTTGCAGTAAATTACTGTTGAACTTTGTAGAAAATGCCCCCTAAACGTTAAATTAGAGTTTAATCCGGTATCAACAAGTAGGGGAAATTAAAAGAAGAAAGAACTTACCTGTACTCCAAGTATGGCAAACATAACGAAGAAAATAGCTGCTATCAGAACAGTGTTTCCAATCAGCTTCAGCGAGTACAACAAAGTCTGAACGACCAACTTTAAACCTTGGGCACGGCGAATCATCCTACATTGATAAAGGTTATGTTAATGGTTGCAAGGGAGTTGTGACACCAACTAATTTTATTCAAAACATAACTTTAAAGGAGAGCGAAGAAGAAGATTTGAATCCATAAAGATCTGACACAACGTATAGACTAGCGTTTTTCCGAATCAAACTTGGTTTACGCGTTTTAGTCTAAGTGTCAGAGTCCGATTAGTGCACCACTCATGGTGTGCTAGGCGTTTGACACGTTAATAACGTTCTTATTGATTGATGAACTGACTGAGTGACCGATTGATTGGTTGTTAATTGACTGATTGATTGATTGATTGATTGATTGATTGATTGATTGATTGATGCGCTTTATTTCAGTGTCAACGTAGTTAGCACGAAAGTACTAATTAGGGACACTATATTTTACTTCTCCTACTGGAGACGGAACCACCATTTTACGTAATCATTCGAGCCACACGAAGGTCCAGCATCTTACAGTGCAAAGGTAGTACCTTCATTTCTCAATTATTTTAAGACCCTGAGAAATGGTCCGGCCCCGGGAATCGAACCCGCGACCTCCCGCTCTAAAGTCACGTGCTCTGCCGACTGAGCTAATCCTGCCGCGGATTGATTGATTGATTGACGCTTTATGTAAACAAAAGAGTCGGTTGGCAGACCTACCTCAACGGTCTAAGGGTTCTCAATGCCCGGAAGACTTTCAAGGCTCCAAGCACTTCAGGCGCAGAAGCAGTGCTGTAGGTAATGATGACGTCAATCCAAGAAACCAACACAAGGCTCCCATCCAGAACATTCCATCCGTCCTTCAAGTAAGATCCAGGACCAACAACAAGACCATGAGCGACAATCTGTAATAAACAGTCATGATCACCTGTGAGTGGTAATCTCTACCATCACTGTATGGAGCGCTCTATAGGCTACCTTTTTTCCTATATCTTTACAACTCATTTTTCAATGGAATTAATAAGGTGCTCTGCTTGCAAAGATATGTTTTCAAATTTTTACCCAGGCGATCATTTTATCTAGTGCAAATCAAGTAGAGGAAGGACGCTTTTTGATGCTTGTCTCCTTCTTTCTCAGCTCATTATTTTCGTCTTCTTCATTTTGTGATGGCGAGTGGCAATACTGAAAGCGTCATTCGTGACGTTAATTTATTCATATAAGCCCTTTATACTTCTTTCAAAGCTCAAAAAGTCAACTATAAAAAAGTTTTTAGACTTATTCATGGCGCATATTTTGGCCACTTAAGCCGAGTATCCAAAATATATGCTATTGATATAAATGGGTAATTCGTGTATATAAAGGCGTCGAAAGAAGCATTCAAGAAACAATGGGATAGGATGTTTTGTAGCTGCAAGCGCTCGAGCCTGGTGCATGAAATCGTGCACAATAAATGTTAAACTGAAAAAATAAGAGAGGCATACATGCATTAATGTAGGTTGTTGAGTAAGTCATCTGGACCTTGAGCTACCTTGAGAAAGATGAAACCTTTCAGTGCTCTAAAATCTTACTGAATCATCCTCTGCTTAAAATATTGTGCATGGTTTTAGTTTCAGTATACCGTAGTGGAGGTCAAACAGAGCAGTTTATTACTAATGGCGAAATCAAAACAATTCATTTAGTGAGAACGATTTACCTTCATAGTCATTTCAACACTGAAAATTCCGGTCAGCACAACCATCGCGATGTCAATTATTTGGCGTTTCTGTGAATATAAAAGGAGCCAAAAAGGCTGAGTTTTGCGATTGAAGCTATCCGTGACTAGCAAAGTCTGCTGCGAACTTAAGGCAAAATTAGCCGACCTCATCAGTTCATCTTTTAACTAATTTTGCTGTCATTTTTTATATGATTTTACAAATGCACACAAACAAGAGATTGAAACGGGGTCATTTTTGCTATAAAATGATAAAAAGCCAGGAGTTATATTATAGGGACATGTGAACTAGATCGACGACTTCTGAATGCAAATTGAGATATATCTCCCCGGCTCTACCTTTGGATGCATGTTCGGCTGTTCTAGTGCCAGGACCAAGCAGCTTGTTAGAATAAACAACAGAACCACGTAGTCAAAGTATTTGTGTTCACAGACTGCAATCAGAAAACGACGAAACCTGGTACTGAGAAAATGAGAAACAGTATACTAGACAATAAATCGTAAGCCCCATATCACATCCCTTGCTCATGCTAAAATCTGTTCGTAAAGAGTAGAGGGTGTAGACCGCGGTGGGTGGTCTATCTTGTGTGTCTGTGTACGTATATCAAGCCGGATTTTGGATAACGTTACCGCCAAATGAACCGTTTGCGTCCAACAGTTTTTTTCGGCCAAAACATATCTCCAAGGTAGCCATTATAAAAACTAAGAGTGCACCCATTGCTTTTTTCTCTTCTCCTCGCTCTTTCTTTTTTTCCTTTTCTTTTCCTTCGTTAATGTGATTGTGGAGCCTCTCGGTCTTAAGACACCTGCCTTTTGATGCCTTTTCACTAAAATGACTGCAAATTTTGTTAGGTTGGTTTCAAAAAATCGGCTAGATATGTATTGCCGTATCAGGTTTACGTAAGCTTTCAAGTTACACTTAATATAAAATATTTCAAATTTTAGGTTTCTTTTAAACAACCCTGTTGAGGGCCTACACGGCACTGCTGCCCTTATGATGTGCACACTGTTAACTGGTGGAAACCTCATGTGGACTGGACTTTTAGCATCTGTATTATTTTTGGTTTTGATTGCTGTCGAAAGATATCATGCCGTACTACATCCTCTACATCATCAGAGTGGATTTGTTGTCACAAAACTGAAATCCATTGTAACAGTATTGTGGATCTATGCTTTCGTCTGGCAAATTCCAGCGTTTGC